GGGGGGGGGTGTCTTTGGCCTCCTTGTACCCAAAGAACAACAAACAAGCCCTTAGTGTGTCAGTGAGAAGGCCGATGGGGGAGGGGGGGAGCAGAGAGCGGGGGCACAGTCCGCGTCCTTCAAAGCCAGCGTGTCGCTCTGAGCTCCGCCATTGATGCACCACAGCATAGCTTCAGGTTGGCCTCCAGTATCAGGTTCCCCCCTCATCCTGTTACCCCCCCACCACCCACCCGCTGACCACAGCGAAAACCGGGAAAACGGGTCGCCCCCGGCAGGGCTGGACATACGAAACGGGCTGAAGAAATAAAACCGTCTGCTAGGACCGAGATTTCGTGAGACCAGTATTCACGTGAGACCAGTATTCACCCGAGACCAGTATTCACCCGAGACCAGTATTCACCCGAGACCCGTATTCACCCGAGACCCGTATTCACCAGAGACCAGTATTCACCCGAGACCAGTATTCACCGGCGTCGGAGCAATGTAACAGAGACCCAGGGTGGCCAGAACTCGACAGAAAGCGGACGTTGAGTAATTAGTAGAATATTTTTGGTAATGATGAAATTTACTTGTCTTGATGTATCATTTAAATTGATTTGTTAGTCTGGAACACTGGGTACATAAATAGCTGTATGTTTAATAGAGTAATTAAGGTTTAGCACTTTGCTCCTGAGATGAGGAACCTGCAGCGCACATTCATGTCTTTAACCACAGCGCCACCTGCTGCCACATATGTATGACTGCAGAGTTCCCGTTCAGTGTGACTGAATTGGGTCCAAAGCCCAGGTTCCGTACTGTTCTCCGTCTGATCTCCCCGCATGCGGGCTCCTGCTTCCACAGACTCCGCCCAGCTGCTGCTGATCGTCTCCGATGGCCGTGGGCTCTTCCTGGAGGGGAAGGAACGGGTCACAGCGGCAGTGCAGGCGGCACGCGGTGCCGGCATTTTCGTCATTTTCGTGGTTCTAGATAACCCAAACTCGAGGGTAGGAGAACCGTGACCGGCTTTAGTTCTCTGCATGTTCCTGTCTCATGAGCTTTGGTAATGTTGGACAGACCCTTCTTCTCACCTGTCCACGTTGACGCTCTTCAGGACTCCATCCTGGACATCAAGGTGCCCATCTTCAAGGAACCCGGCGAGATGCCGGAGATCCGCTCCTACATGGACGAGTTCCCCTTCCCGTTCTACGTCATCCTGCGGGACGTGAACGCCCTCCCCGAGACGCTGAGCGATGCCCTCAGGCAGTGGTTCGAGCTTGTCACAGCGGCCGACCACTAGGCCTTGCCGGCCCTCATTGAGGTCACACTAAACTGCAGGACGTCTCTCTGCTGCTACAGCCTCCGGCGCCGGAGGGCCGAGGCGACGGACCGTGACGCTGGCTGTGTATGTGCCTTCTTCTTCTCCACTTGAAATGTTCCCATAGTCCCCATGATTACAGTCCCACCCCCTTTCTGTTTAAAAGTGGAAAAATATTTAAGTCCTTGCCCCCCAACATGGCAAATAAAATGGCAGCCTACTTTTAAACCTTGCATATCTGAACAAAATAGACAGTTATCTCTTCTGTGTGTGTGTGTATGTGTGTGTGGCCTGAATACCTCATGTGTGTTGACAGTACTCCGTAAATGTGACGAATGGTTCAATATCTCAAGTAGTTAAAAAGCACACATTTTCGAAAACGGCGAGTTCAGGTAACCAGCCAGCACAGTGGCTAACTTAACCCACCCATTTCCCCAAGTGGTAAAAATACATATGATTTTGGGCTGTTTAAACAGATTTTATTTTTTTTAAAAGTGCCTTTAAGAGTTAGTCATCATTTGATATAATGTGAGCTTCCACTAAATTAATCTGTATTACCTGAAAAACTTAATCCTAATCAGGCTCTGTTAAGGATTGATATTAATGCCAAATATAGCTTCTTCAAGAGGGCTGGTAGGTTCCGTGTCACAAAGCGTACCATGCTTGTATGAAACTAGGTTTTTAATGTACGCCTGTATTTTCAAATTGCTGAATTATTTAGATAAATCTTTTGTATTGTGAGTAGTAACATTTCAGCTGTGAACTAAACAGATTGAAGATAGCTCACCCTTGTTTCCCTATGCACCTTTGTGGAAAAAAAATCTAGCTACCTACGAAACCTTATTAAATTCAGTGATACGAATAAACTTGTTTTTCGAAAAGATTTGTCAGTGTTTTGTTGGATTCCTCATTTTGACGCAATGTCGCTTGGTGGGGGAGTCGCTGCCCTCCACGCCACCAGAGGGCGTCAGAACATAATCCGTGGAGTCCGTGTCTCTGACTATGTCGGCGCCCGTGTGCAAGCAGTGCCCATAATATATTTGTCAAGTCCCCATGGCAGCTTCAAGGTTACCTCCCGCCGCACTGAGTTTAAAACAGGTAATTCACGCTACCGTTCAACTTGTATACTGTTTATATTAGGAAATGAAGTACAGTTATTTAGGGATATCAACCGTTAACTTTGTGAAATCGACATGCTTGTATTTACATTTTACACATTTGTCAGACGCTTTAGTCCAGAGCAATGTACAAGTGAGGCATGTACTGACATACATGCTGTAAAGAAGTTCATTGGGCACACATGCAGCGAGGCTGAGCTTCCAGCGCTACACATGCTAATATGGAAAGGTCATGATTATAACCCAAATCACATACTCATAGCAAATTATCAGGCGGTCCTGGTTATAACCGTTTTAATTCACAATTTTTTAGTTTTTGGGTCGACAGAAAGTTTTACAGTTATACCGAAGTATGCTGCGGACCATCCGCCAAGTGCCGAAGGAGGAGGACCGCCGGTACCTGCGGAGCTGGGCGAGGGAGGAGTTCAAGAGGAATAAAGGGGCCACTGATCCGGTGCGTTTCTCCCAAACAGCACCTCTCTGACGGCGGCTATCCCCAAAGCTCCGTGTATTAGGTTTTGATTTACTGAACCTGATTACGTTTTGCCCGGCTGGATGCAAAAAAAAGCGTAACGTCTAGTCGTGATAGTCACGTTTAAAGCAGGGCTTCTGAACTGGGGGGTTCAGATTTTTTTAAAGTTACTTTTACCGCTAAGTTTAAAAAAATAAATAAAAAATCAGAGGCGTAACCATAACCCCCTTATTTTTGTTTGTTTATGCATGTCCGCCTCAGGATGCCGTCCGGATGATGATCACACAGGCCAACATGCACCTGCAGGATCTGCAGAAGACTCTGGCCCTGGCAGGGAGCTAGCTTGGTCCTGCCTGGGAACCTGCACCGCGGGGCTGTCTGGTACCGTGGTGCTGCGTCGCATGCACATTACCAGCGAGCTCAAACCCGTCGCCCGCTGGTTGGCTCCCCGTACCAGAGATGCTTGTAAATTATCCTGGAGCCGATGTTTTATCGCAGACTGAAAAGGAACGATACTTACTGAACACACGTCGCATTTCTGTGCCAGACCCTGGAGAAGGTGGACTTCCAGAGTCCATTTGGGCTTTCCATCAAACGGAGAGTGGTCTAGATGAATGTGATTCAGTGTAAATGTGTAAAATTAGGTTAAGATGGGATGGCTTAGGGCCAGCAGTTTGCCTAGGTGAGTTAATGTTTCACTGCTTTTTAAATGTTTTTCTGTGATTTGTCTTCTGTTATTTAAATATAAAGAAAGATGCAGAAACGGTTTATTTTTTTGTGAAACATTTTTTTAAAATGGAGCACATACAGTTTGTGCAGTTTAAATGCATCAGGATCAAAATCTTCTTTGCACAGTAACACATGTCCGCGCAGCCTGGGTAAGCTCACAGTGAAAGGTCACAGTTTCTTTCCTTTCTAAACAAACTCTTTCACTGTTCTTTTAACAATTAAGCTTATAAACAGTTAATGCTGTAAGTATGATTAGTAAAAATACCTGAATACAGTAAAGAAAAACAGATGATGATGATCTGCAGCTGGCTTCCACTTACAGTCACAGTCTGGGCTGCAAACGTGCAGCCTGAATATTTCCAGTAGTCCTTCATCTCCTGTAGCCAAATTTTAGCTTCTGAGGTTGAAGCCACATGTGCGATTTCACCAAAACTGTGATTTGTCAGCTGTAAAAGTAACACTACAAGAAAAAAAATACTGTTTTGATTTTGGCATAATCTTTAGTTATATCCATAAGGCGTGTTTTTGATTGGGTGTGTGACTGTATGTGCCTTCTCAACACCCTGTTTACAGCTGTAATTCAGCCGCTGGGAATTTTTGCTTGATTAGAGCAAAATGACAAAACACACGTTATTAACAACTTAAAATGCAAGCAGCAAATTAGAAATCAGTGTTTTGACTGGAGTGGCTACTGGTGGTTTCATACTAGCCAAGTGTATGAATTAGGACTATCCTTGAGACTATCCTTGTACAGTACGTTTATCATCTTTTAAGTCTTTGTCTATAAAAAATTGGATTCATTCCAGTAAAAGCACTGGGAGTTCTGTGGAAATCCAGCAGGTGGCGCTAGCTATCCGGCACGTTAGTCCTCAGCAGGCGTAGCTCCTCCTCCAGGCAGCTGATGCGCTCCAAGAGCGCGGCCCGGTCCCGCTGAGCCCTCTGGTCCGCCTGCCGACGGGCCTCCTGGATCTTCCTCTCATACCAGCGCTCCATCTGAGTGGAGACGGCCTCAAAGAAGTACTGTGTCACCTCCAGCGCGTGCATGCTCTCTCGCTCCTGTGCGAACGAGGGCTCCGGGGGCCCCGCGATGACCTCCGGGGGCCCCGCAATGACCTCCAGGGTCGGGGCGTCCCCCGGCTGCGCTGCCGTCCTCCCCTGGGCCTGCTTCCTGTGAGGTCTGCTCCTCTCACGCTCCCGGCGGTGCCTCCCACGGCGTTCAATGGCGGGAGACTGGCTGCTTGCTCTGCTAGCCTGAGCTAGCTGGAGTCCGGTGTCGGGCTCGTCTGCGGCCTGCGCTTCTGGATGCGGCCTGTGGGGGGCAGCAGGGAGGCGTACCCGCTCTTTTGGTCGGACGACTTGAGGTGATGAAGGCACTGACTTGTTTTGGGCTGGAAAATGCTGTCTGTCATCTGCAGGGAAAACAATGTTGTGGTGGGAAGATAATGGCGAGAAGGAGAAACCAATCCAGGTGAAGATGGCCTGTTTCACCCATGAAGTTAAACCGTGAGTGTGACTAACTTTGGTTATATAACAGCTCTACGTGGGTGTGGAGACACACAGAACAGTGGATCTTTGTATGTGTGTAGTGGTGCAGAGAGGGCCTACCTGGAGAGCTGTCCATCTGAACCACAAAGTAATGATGACCGGCTGCTGCCTCAGCCTCGGTCACCCGGCTGGCAGCTTCCTCGGTCGCCCCTGATGATGCAGCGGCGTCGAGGGTCAGCGAGTTCGTGCTGCGGGCCGGGAGGGCGGGGCCTTCTGAGCCGGCTTCCGGGATGTCCTCTGGGAAGGATGGAGAGTCACGCCTGGTGCTCGGAGAATCTCCAGAGAGCCGGAGCTCTATGTTATGGATCTTGGACCAGCACCAGTTCTTCAGCTCGTTGACCACTGAGGTCTGCGAAGAAAATGTGAAAAAGGCAAACTGATGGAGGATCATCAAGTCTGTAAAAACGGAAGCTGCAATTTCCTGCTGTGCGGATGGAAATCCAACAAACGTCACCTGAAAAAATGTTTTTTCAAAACCGTGGTTTTCAGCTGAGCTAACAAGTACTATATAGTCATTCATGTCTGTTAATCTATAAGCTCTTAACAGTAGATTGCGTGTTTTTAGCTGGTCTCACTAATGTTAAGTCCATGTTGGATATGATCAGCATTTCTGGGCAGCATGTCACCTGTTTCTTCTCTATCTCCTGATGCAGCAGAGTGGTTTTCTGCTCAAGGCGTTGAAGACACTCTGTCCGCTCTGCTGAAACTCTCTCCAAAGTGATCTTATCCAAGGCCCTGATCTTCTCAGAGAAAAGGCGATTGAAGGGAATCGTGTTAATGTTAATGGCAGGGTTGCCCCTACACAAGCCTCAGGGGATGGAGTCCTGTCTGTTTGAAATGTACGAGGATCCCTCACTTCACAACATTCCCTTTACACTTTGCTTTTAGACCGACATCACCTACATCGGCCCAACATCACCTACATTGGACCGACATCGGACCGACATCACCTACATCGGACAAACATTGCCTAGATCTACATTAGCACCTGTTACCGCTAGCCGATAGAAATCCAAAGAGGAAGAAAAGAGCGAAAACAGCATTTACCTTTATATCAGCGAGGCAATTATACATATACAGTCGTACACCACATAACGATGTTTCGGCCAGCGACAGATCGCATACAAGACGGTAGTCCCATAAGATTATAATGGAGTTGAAAAATTCCTATTGCTTAACAACGTCATATCGTACCATAACGTTATAGCCACTGTAGCGTCATATCGTACCATAACGTTATAGCCACTGTAGCGTCATAGTGCACCATAACGTTATAGCCACTGTAGCGTCATAGTGCACCATAACGTTATAGCCACCATAACATCACAGCGCAGCGTGTTACTCGTGCATTTCTGCTAATGCTGGTGTAAATAAACCTACTGCACTACCAGCCGTGTAAAAGTACAGTACACATAAATATGTACGATGCAAAATACTTTAATCGAATGGTTTATATATTTAATGTACTTTTTACCGTTATTTAGGCTATACAGCCTAGGTGTGTAGTAAGCTGTACCATCCGCGTTTGTGTAAGTACACTATGATGTTCGCACAACGACGAAAACGTACAACTTTTCTCAGAACGTACCCGTCAGTGACTCTTGACTTGAGTCTGGTAAGTGAATCTCATACCTGCTTTTTCTATATGTTAGTGTTACTTCAGGTTTTGTGTTTTATTTCGTATGATTTGGTACTTTTTCCTTTGGTCTGGGAACACTCAAATTTTTTCCTCATGTAAATTAATGGTAATTATTGCTTCTTTTCTTGCCATTTCGGCCGACGAAAGGTTTCATAGGAACGCTCTACCTTCGGGTAGCGGGGAAAGACAGGTTCAGGAAAACCTGCTGGCATGACCTCGAGACGGGTCCTCCTGCTTTTATTGAGTCTCTTGCATTATATGTTAAACCTAAATTCGGTTATTACTGGTGCGATCATTAACCTCAGTGGATGCTCCAGCCTGGCATGACGCTTATTCCGGAACATTCCGGGTTACACCATACCTGGTGCTGGTTCCTGCGGTCCAGCTGGCCCAGCTTGCTGTTCAGATGCTCTTGGACAGTGTGAATCTCCGACTTCATCTCCTCCTTTGTGGCCTCCAGCTGGTTCTCTAGTTTGTTGATAAGAGGCTCACAGCGGCAGCCGTTTAGTGGAGCCTGTGCACATGGGAGGCGGCTTGTATAATTACACAAATGTTCAGGCCATATAAGGTATCAAACAAAAGTTCCTTTATTTAAATAAAGCTGCCTTCATTGCAAATATAAGTGAAAATAAACGGGACGTTCCCATTGGTCGGTGTCTTGTCATGTGACATCCACCTAATCTAAAGTATTTGTTTAAACTGGGATGCCCTGAGCTAAGTGAACTGGGGCCTGTATCACAAAGCTGGATTTCTTGCTTAGCCGGATAACTTGTAACCCTAAACCTAACCCCAGTTTAAATGGACTTTATCCTCTTTTCAGGTGCTTTTATTTGAAATGGTAGTTTACAAATCCTGTCCAGACAGTGGGAGTCCAGACAGTGGGAGTCCAGACAGTGGGAGACGGCTCACCTGCATGACCCTGCCGTCCTCGGCTCGGTACAGGGTGTAGAGCTGATAGGCCTTCAGGCCGTGAGGGGGTGGGGGCGGGGAGGCGGGGCCTCCTGCTCTGCCCTTCTTCCGATTGGCCGCCTCGGCCCGCTTGTTCTCCCTCCGCGAGAGGGGCTCTGACAGCGATGGCTGGGCGGCGTGTGACAGAGGACAGTGGCGTTAGATTAGCAGCAGTCGTGCCGTCGTGAGAAGCCCCCGGTGGCTGATTAACGCAGTGGATAACAGCCTCGCCCCCCCTCGCAGTTAATCTATTCCCCAGTTCTTTGCTCCGTCCCGTTTCCCCCGTAGATGATTTCTGAAGCATCCTGTCCTTCAGACCCCCCCCCTCCAAACCTTCTCTTTCTCCTTCTTCCTGCTCCTGCCTCCCCCAGCGTCAGCCGTTCCCTCGGGCGGCTCATTCCCACGGTCCCCCCCCCTCGTGGCCGGCAGGTCGCTGCTGTGGGTGTCTCCGGCCGCCGAAGCCCCCTCCTGCGATGGCACAGGGGGCAGCGAGGGGATTAACCATGTTTTTTTGTGTTTATTTTTAACCGTCTAGCACCTGCCGGCCTGCAAAGGGCCAATCTGAGACCTTCAATGGCATCATCTACAAATGAGCCCTTTCTGCTAAATCCGTTTAGTGTGTAATTAATGCGTCCATCTGCCCGAAGCAGATATATGGGCAGAAGCTGAGCTTCAAACTTCAGATGTAATTTTATTTGTATGTTGTGGCTGTGAGGCCGCCTGCTCGATGGCAGCTGCCCCCTCTGCCGGGTCTTTGCCCCTTTTCCGTGGGTGTTGCACATACACTATATGGACAAACGTATTGGGACGGCAGCCTGTCCGTCATCTTACTCTGAATCAAAGGGTATTAAGATGAAGTTTGCTAACTCCTAGTTGCTATAATAGCCTGTACTCTTCTGGTAAGGCTCTCCGTCAGATGCTGGAATATTCTTGGTGGGATCTGCTGCCCTTCAGGTTGGGTATCGATTCTGGGTGATCAGGTCCCCCTCTGTGAGCTTGCGTGGCCCCCACCTCGCAGCTGAACTTGCTCCCAGACGTTTCCACTTCACAATCATTTTACTTGCGGTTGACCGGAGCAGCTCTAGCAGGACAGACATGTGGGGAACTGACTTGTTGGAAAGGTGTCCAATGGTGTCCAGTGATGGTACCAGGCTGACTAACCTCTCCTGTATGACCCCCATTCTGCTGCCAGTGTCTGATGCTGCAGGTTGCATGGCTCTGTGCTTAATTACACACCTGTATGTCAGCGGTGGGTGTGGCTTATATGGCCAATGCCTGTAATTACTATGGGTGTCCTGATACTTCTGTCCGGATAGCGTACGCGCCTTGGGGGCCCCTGCCACGTGCCCTGTGCTACTTGGACTGGGGCGCAGACCCCCCTGTCCTGGGTAACTGCTTGGGGGGTGCAGACTGGAGGAATCTTACATTCTCACTGCGTTACTTAGTTCTCCTGCGTCATTATCTCCTAGGATGGCATTTTCAGGCTGACAGCCCTACAGTCTATGGGGGGAAGGGGCTCTGAATCGCGCAGTGAGGCATCAGCTGGAAGACGCTGATCTCTGAGCAGTGTGTAAAAGCAGCGGGTGTGTCACGGCGGCGCTGGGTCACCTTGGCGGGCAGCACGTTGTCCCTGGGCACAGACTGCGCGCGTCGCTCGGCCTTTAGCTTGTCGCGCCGCTTCCTCACACTTCTGCCCCTCGTGAAGCTCTGCACCTGCCATAAACAAACACACGGGGGCGCCAGCGAGCGTCAGGCCTGTGCTGCCTTCATCCCACCCTGCCAGTGGCGTAATGTCAGCTGGGGAGCAGATTCGAGGCTGGGGGGCTGTCATGGCGGACACCGTAATGGGGGTGGGGATCTGCGGACACCGTAATGGTGGTGGGGATCTGCGGACACCGTAATGGGGGTGGGGATCTGCGGACACCGTAATGGTGGTGGGGATCTGCGGTCGCTATGCAAGGCCACGCCTGATGGAGGCGGTATTGTTCTCCTGACTTCTTTGACCGCTTGACATCCTTAGACAATCTGTGTTGTACCAGGACTCTGTCAGAACCTCTAACACTGGCAGGTACTGGATAAGCTTTAAAAATTATCAAATAATGTGTGCCCCCTGATGGACTGGCATCCCATCCAGGGTGTACCCCAGCCCTGTGCCCCCTGATGGACTGGCATCCCGTCCAGGGTGTACCCCAGCCCTGTGCCCCCTGATGGACTGGCATCCCAACCAGGGTGTACCCCGGCCCTGTGCCCTGTGATGGACTGGCATCCCAACCAGGTTGTGCCCCGGCCCTGTGCCCCGTGATGGACTGGCATCCCATCCAGGGTGTACCCCGGCCCTGTGCCCCGTGATGGACTGGCATCCCAACCAGGGTGTACCCCGGCCCTGTGCCCCNTGATGGACTGGCATCCCAACCAGGGTGTACCCCGGCCCTGTGCCCCCTGATGGACTGGCATCCCAACCAGGGTGTACCCCGGCCCTGTGCCCTGTGATGGACTGGCATCCCGTCCAGGGTGTACCCGGCCCTGTGCCCTGTGATGGACTGGCATCCCGTCCAGGGTGTACCCCGGCCCTCTGCCCTGTGATGGGCTGGCATCCCGTCCAGGGTGTACCCCGGCCCTGTGCCCCCTGATGGACTGGCATCCCAACCAGGGTGTACCCCGGCCCTGTGCCCCCTGAAGGACTGGCATCCCATCCAGGGTGTACCCCGGCCCTGACATCCCGTACGAAGTGTTCCCCATTTCAGCCGTTTCTGTTAACTTGGGTGAATCGGTACCCATGGGTGCCCATTTTCTAACGCGCCTACCTATACAGGGAGGTATAAAGAGGCACGCGACACTGACCTGCGGAGCCTTTGTGAGGAGCAGGGCCACGCTCGGGTTGTTGTGCTCCCTGGCCAAGTCCAGCGGCATCTGGCCGGCCTGCACAGAGACACCGGGCTGGATAGTCATATCACTGGCGAGAAATAAGGGCGAAGAGCCCCCTGGAGGCCTGAGCAGGCCTTTGTACAGCAGGCCTGAGGCAGGCCTTTTTACAGCAGGCCTGAAGGCCTGAGCCACTCACGGCGTTGACAGCAGTGCTGTCTGCTCCAGCCTCCAGCAGCAGCCGCGCCGTCTTCTTGTGGTTCAGTGCGGCGGCCACGTGGAGGGGCGTGTCTCCCACCTGTGGGACAGGAGGCTCGTTTATGTCCCAGTAGACACTGGGAATCATGAGGCTTTGTTATCAGCTGGTTCACTGGTACTTTTACTGGGTACCAGCAGGTAAAAGTTGAAAACTGGCCTACGTTAAATTTCATAAGTCAGAATGTGTTATTGTCATACACTGTCAGAAAAACGCGGTACAGCCCTGGTACGGTTTTGTTCCCCAAGGTACAAACAGCATGAATGGTATAAAAATGTTCCATTTCTGTACCTTAAAAAGGGAACGTTTACTACAGTGAGGGTACAATTGGCAGATGCTTGAGGGTACAGCCAGTGACAAATAACTGTATCCTCGAAGGACTTCGACAATGCAACCCATTGTAAAAATATGTGAGTATCTTGAAGGGTTTTTGAGATACGGCTGTTGAAGTTACTCTCCAGCCTGACTGTCACACTTTATTCTAGTACCTGGTGCAGTGATGATTTTCTAGGCCTTTATGATAAATCTGTGGGTGAAACTGACCAGTATTTTTGGTCAAACCACTGAAAAATCATTGCACTTCAAGAAATTTCAAAGCGCTTTTTACAATAAATAAAAATAAGGCAAAGATTGGCAAACACCAACAAAAACATTAAGATTAAGATTTTAATGTGACATTTCCGGACAGAGGAATAAGTTGAATCTGAAGGGTTTTGCGCCGGTTTTTGCTCTTTTCTCCAGTCAATGCGCTTACTGGCCGGTACCTACTACTATGTTGGATATATATGTTACATATATGTAATAATCAAAAGCTTTCTGAAGTGTTATCTGACTGATTTGATTGTTTTCAACTGCAATCCTACTTATCAATGTCCATCTTTCATGTTGATTACAGGTAGGTGTCATTAATTCCCCCCCACCCCCACCAACCTGATTCTGCTGAGTGACAGAGCAGAAGGTCCCCAGGAGGATCCGAATCACGGTCACATGATTGTAGCGTGCGGCCACGTGCAGACAGGCGTCCCCAACCTGAGACGGTGACAGAGTCACAGCGGCTGAGTCCTTATTTGCAGACATTAGCCGTGTGGTCAAACCTCAGCCCAGCGTTATTCAGGTAGTCTGTACCACAAATATTACTTTCTACGGTTTTCCTGCACTCATTTTCAATTTTATATATTTAGTATTTTAATTTACTATATTTTAACATATTTAATACTGTCAGTATTTCAGATAGTATGTGGCACAAAAATACACTGTGTTTGTAGTAAAGGACTCGATTACAAGCCTTTGCGGAAGCTGCAGATTAATGTTACCCTGACCTAGGAACAGCTTACTTTTAAATCCTAAACTCAGTGAGCATTAATAATAAATGCTACAGACTGATCCGAGATCAGGCGCACTCACATTGTTCTTGCTGTCTGGCCGGGATCCGCCGAGCAGCAGCACGCGGGAGGTCTGTGCGTGTCCGTTCTGGCAGGCCAGGTGCAGGGCGCTGTTTCCAGCCTGAGCAGACACAGGCGGGTCGGCATTTACCCTCCGCACCCCGCGGGCTCTGCTTCACAGTGAAGCCGGTGACCCCCCCAGCTAAGCCATACCTTGTTCTTGGCATGAACGTTGGCCCCCGCCTTGACCAGCTGCTTGGCCGTCTGGCTGAATCCGTGCCAGGAGACCTCGTGCAAAGCCGTGTTTCCGTCCTGCAGACGCACGAGAACCGGCAGGGTTCAGAGTCCTGCACTGGCCGCTTTGCCTGCCATCGCCTGACCGGCTACCTACCGACCGGCCGGCCTGAACGCGTCACGGCTCTTTAAGGACGACGTGAGGCTGATGTAGCCTGATCTCAGGGTGCGTTTGGCCTTGGCTATGTTCAGCAGATACAGTCAGTGGCTCCTTTGGGAGGTAAACTTCCCTTGAACCGACAAGGACCTACTTTTGCTTCCAAAGCAGTCTGACCTCTTCATCCTATGGATCCATTGTGTTATGTGGATGCAGTCGCACCAAGCTGTAATTCTTTTCACTGGATGCCTTTCTGTTCCTTTTAACACATTTATCCTCCGAGTTCCCTCGTTAACAAGGTGTTTCAGACATAGAAATGCCACTGATTGGATCTATTTTGTTTTCTGTAAAATGATGTATGAAAGTCCAAAGAAGGTGGTTAGTTCTGAGAAGCCAGAAGCACCAGATGTGACACTGCATTCAGCATGACTGACCAGACTGACCCCTTTGACCTCGTCTCTTTGTTATATGTGGAGGTGCAGCCACACGATTGGCTGTCTGGAGGAGCGGGTTCTGTGCATTAGCCAATGACAAGGGGCTCACATGCTGATCTTCCGAGGTCCCGCCTATGACTCCGGCACAGCATGTAAAATGGCTCTGACAATCAGAATAGAAAGCGCTCGGATTATCTTTTCGGACAGGGGGCGCGCTGGGCGTTTACCTTGTCCTGTCTGTCCAGAGCACACCCTTCCTGAACGAGAGTCGCGATGATGTCACTGTTTCCCACCACAGCCGCACGGTGCAGGGCCGTCTGGTCACCCTGGGTAGTAAAATCACACAGAACACAGCTGGACTGGGCAAAATGATGCTGAAATACAGCCCAAAACTATTCACATGACCAGCCAGAAGAACAATGCACCGCGTTACAAAATTCTGGGTAACTGACTGTGTTTATAGCAAAGACCTAAATTGGACTATGGATGCTTTACAAACGTACAGAAGCTGATAAAGACCATGAAATATATATTTTTTTATACCATGTTCTCCTGACAATGGGAAAGCGAACATCGTTTTCCTGTGATAACTGAATAATTTTCTCCAGAAAACGAACAGAATTTTCACGTGATAAAAGATTCATTTAGCAGCCTGGCGGTATTGATTTTCGTTTTCTTGAGAACTTGAGAAAATGTATTCAATGCAGAAAATCGTGAGAATACGCTGTCCGTACCAATGGCTATAGATATTCAGCTTTTAACCGGCAGTAAGGCCCGACAGCGGATGGCTTTTCCGCTTTCGTCTGCTGTTGTTTGATTACTATTTCTGATGGGAAGGTGGACGCTTGCAGATGCCCCCAGCGGGGGACCGGGCCTAACCCAGGTCTACAGCTCCTGAGAAGAGAACAGCCCGGGTTCTGGGCCAGGAGCAGACAGACACAGCCCACTCCCACCCCCCACCCCCCACCCCCCACTGGTGCCAGCGACTCCTCGGCCAAAGAAGGAGAGGTGGAGGTGGGGGCTGTTTGAGAAGTCTGGGGGCGATCAGGCTTTGTGTTTTTGCTCTGGGTGGGGGACACTAGTGTGCTGAGGCTGCAGAAGATGTAGAGTCAGTGACAGGCAGAATAATCCCCTTCTAGGCCACTGGAGGCATGATTACCTAACAGCGGTTCCTATAGGAAATTCAATTAATGTCTGCAGGAAAAGCAGCCAAACAGATCTTCACGTTGAAGCTTTCCCATTTCTCACAGTCCCCAGGAGCACTAACATGCATGTATGCTCTGCATGTTGTACGGCATCAGTGAAATTCCCCAGGGTGCAGAAACCAGGTCAGTATTTCATACTTCCATGCGGTCGCTACGCTAAGCGGTGCCCTTCATGCTCTATAGCGGCACAATTCGCTGCTGGATTGTGGCCTTCGGCCTGCGCTTACATCATCCTGGACGTCCAGATCACAGCCAGCCTTCAGCAGGATCCGCACGACCTCCAGGTGACCTTTGTAGGCGGCCAGGTGCAGCGGCGTGCGGCCGTACTGAGGGGAGAGACACACACGCACACACACGAGAACACAGGAGACGGTCATTCCTACAGCAGGCACACAGCAGAGGCCTGTAGTGACCAAAGCAGCTCAGTCAGGGCTCCTTTCTGGCACATTCTGTCTGCATAATAAGGAGCAGAAAGAAAGAAAGCTTAATCCCCAGTGGGGGGGGGGGCCCTGCTCTCATGTATTTGGCCCAAAGAGCAGTGAAGCAGGTTTTAACACGCGTTTCATTAGTACTATAGTACCAGTTATTTGTAAAATATACAATTAACACACAAGGCTTTTCACATTTATACAAAACGCTATACTACCTATGGCATGTGCAATATTTTCTTAATCACAGTGCTGAAATGTGCAATATTTTTCTTGCTTATTGTGAAGCTGAATCACAAGGGGATGTATATCTATAACACAACACATTTTAAACACCTACTTCGTCATTTTTACTTTTTTTGCATTTTTACTCTTTACATTCCTTTTCTATTCAATTTCATATTCTATGTATTTATATTTTTTCTGCTGATAGTCTCACGCTTTCGTTGTACGTTGTGGAATGACAAAGGTGTTCATTCATTCGTTCATTCGTTCATTCGTTCATAATGTGTCAGTACTTTTGTCTGACATTCTTTTTATCCCCTTAATGTGACCTAAAGCAACTGACTCATCACCCATTTCAGACATTTTTATTAGCATAGAAACTCCTTTTGGGGAGTAACAGTAACACTGCAGGTTGTGGGTTCAGCTCCCAGTGCCCCACACACACACACACAAGGACACACACATTCTTGAAAGTTACAATTCTCCTCTATAAAGAGCATGTACTCAACAGCAGCATATATGGACTGTTAATCATGATGTCTACAGCACCATCTAACTCTCCATTTTACAAACATCATGGTAACTTCTACATTTCTTTGACAGCCTTTTAAAAACAGAACAATCTGTGAAGGATAATCTACATAAGGTGAATACTCTTAGGTCCTCTCTAACATAATTAGCAATGAGTCATTTTCATTCCCCTTCACTTTCCCCCCCTTCGCTCTTCATAACGTTTTTTCTCAAACACACCCCTGGCGATGCTATTTTATCAGCTGGGGGGTTTGACACGCCGTACTACACTGCCTCAAGGCGTTTCCCCCATAGCTAGCGTGCTGTGCTAAACCTCTCATCAGCACACTGCACGTCGGACTCGAGGGCTCGCGAACCGGCGATCACGCAGAAGTCGGGGCCGGTTTGGCAGGGCCGCGGCCGCTGGGCTTGTGTTCCGCACTGCGCGGTTTGGAGAGAAACCACCAGTGCCATTCAGGTAAAGCCATTGAAGAGCTCACCGTCACCCGGGCAACCAGAAGGGACTCTCAGCCACTGCAGCCCTCGGGCCCCTGCCTCCCTTCTCTCTGTATCGCTCACGTTTTGCTCTACTGGGGGAAATTCCAACCCAAACTTTAGCCTTTGTTTCACAGATTATGTATTTATCAGGCAGTGAAGCCGACACAGCAGTTTCCTGCTGGGCCGGAGCCCATCATCATTACGCACGAAGACGGCCGCGATATCGTGCTGCTAGTTCAGCCACGCAGGAAGAAGAGGCCGTTCTGCAGGTTTTACCACTGGCCTGAGGTTTAAACAGCCCAGAAAATCCCACCTTAACTTCCCAAGTCTCATGCTTCCGTGTACAGAAGGCAAAATGACCAATGAGTGCCAAAACGAGAACACAAACTCGTCTGAGATTGAACGAGTGTGGCATAATGGTTAGAGAACTTGCCTGGTCACATTTTCGTCATTAATATACTGACGCAGCCTGGTTCTTAGAACAGCTGCAGCAATTTGGATGTATGAATAAAATAATACTCAGTCGTTACAAGTGCTGCGGCTGAAGGGATGTATTGTCATTTCTGTTATATTTTTGTTTAATATATATCTAGCATCTCCCTCCAATGTAAATTTCATTTATATTTTATCCAAAAGATGATCACCCTTGCTATTCAGAGAACTGGACAATTAAGACATTATTTATTAATGACTTAGAAGCCGTGAAATCAGGGGTGTGGCTACGGGTGGGCGGGGGTTTGGGGTTCTCACCCAATCAGAGACATTTATGTAACATGGGACCCAACACTGGTGCCCACTCCATATACCCAAATGCCCAGTCCAGGATGGCATCCTGGTAATCAGTGCGGGAAATTGTCTATAAGAGACAAAACCAGTGATGAATGAATTTAGTTAGTGTTGGGGAATTTTATATCAATAAATATGATGGACAAACAATTTGTAAGTGAGGATTTTAACCCTGATCTGGTTTATTCTGTGAATAACTGTGTTTAAGCACCATTGTAGGTTAGTTAGTGCTTCAGGGGCCCTAATCACAGGCGTGTGTGAAGGTCATCACCGCCCTTCCTGCCGCCCTCATACTCCTAATCCTGACATTTGGACTAGATGGAGTCTCCAGCTCCATCCAAACTTATCTTTGTACCAGCGAGCAAAACCCCTCCAATCTGCAAACGTCTATCTCATAGGTGTCCGTCCCTGGGTGACACACTAGTTTGGTCTAATAGTTGCACAGGCCTGTCTGTTATGAAACAAAACAACAAAACAGATGTAAAATAAGGCTATTTGAGCCAAATATATCCATTGCTCTGACCTTATCTCAAGGTTTTTTATTGTAAAACGCACAATAGTTTTCACTTAGCATGAATAGAAGGAAGGTCTCGTTAGTTACCTTGGTGACGGCTACTTTGGCGCCCTTGTTAATTAGCTGCACGACATTGTCGGCCTGGCCTTTGTGGGACGCTACGAGGAGCCGTTCTGAGAGCACCTGCACTGCAGCATCCTGCTGGCTCATGTATCAGAGTGGGGAGGGGCGGGGGGCGTGTCCAGAGGTGTCACACCTGGGGGGCGAGGCCACCTAGCTCATGTCTGTCGCGGGGCGGTGGGGGCGTGGACCTGCAGAAGCGCTGCACCCCGGCACGCTCACGTCATCCTCCGGCCCTGGCGGAACAGGAACAGGAACAGGAAACACATGTGGTGTTAACAAGGTGCCATGTGCCCACCAGGGTGACCTCAGCAGGAAGGGACACATTTATACTGTGTTATGGAAAAAATCGGGGCCGGATTTATTGGGGGTGGGGATCCCTGAGCTAAAGTCATTGCTGGGGCCCTATTTACAGCATGAACTGCTGCTGTAACACCTTGGGGGACTAAGCTGCAGCCATTACTAGTGCATAAACCTGCCATTCGCAAAAATCGTTGGTAAACGCGGAGGACTGTGAGGAGTTTTCCAAGAACAGATTCCCTTGTGATTGAATGTGTTGCACTAGCTGCATCAGTAGCACCGTCTGGCCTGCAGCCTCTGGCCATTTGCACACTGGAAGTGAAGGTTCCTCATTGTACATAAACGTGCAAAGCATCTCCGGGTTGGTTTATGCAACTACATGGAGGGGAAGGTCGCCATGGGAACAGAGGAAGGGGCGTCATTCCTGGGAAGACGGATCTATGCAGGGTAAGTGGCCGCCGCCTCCGTCAGCCTGGGACTCCCTCTCCGCGAGCGGCCCGGCCGACACCCGATCGGCCCGGCGCTGACTTCACAAGGAGTGTCGTGCCGCCGTCTCTGATTCCGCTCTTATGTGAAGAGGGCGGCGGTGGCTGAGAGGGGAGGAGGCCTGACTCGAGGCACAAACTTATCTGTAAGGGAGCCGACATCGCGATGGGAAGAGGATGGCGCTCACTGGGCACACCTCGCGGCACTGCGAACGCACACCAGACTCGTCTTACGGCACACTGGACCTGCCCTGTATCACCGTGACGGCACACTGGGCACACCTCGCGGCACTGCGAATGCACACCAGACTCGTCTTACGGCACACTGGACCTGCCTTGTATCACCGTGACGGCACACTGGGCCCACCTCGCGGCACTGCGAACACACACCAGACTCGTCTTACGGCACACTGGACCTGCCTTGTATCACCGTGACGGCACACTGGGCCCACCTCGCAGCACTGCGAACACACACCAGACTCGTCTTACGGTACACTGGTCCTGCCTCGTGGACCCGCAATGATACACTGGGAAGGAGCCACCTCTGACCCGGTCCACTGCTCCATCAGGCCCTCCCAGGATCCTCTGCTGCACAGACCTGTCTGAGTAATGCAGCATTCTGGTCCAGCCACTTGGGTTCTCAGCAATGAGGATCCTGTGAGCCGGATCACCCTCAGGGAAATGCGCCACATGGCTGTAGTGCCGTAACTGACGCTCCCTCACAATGCAGGTAATGTGCCTCATTCGCGACTCCTCTATCAACCGCTCATTCGACACAAAGTCAAACCAGCCGTACCCAAGGATTCTCCGAAGAGACACAGTACCGAAGGAGTCCAGTCTTCGTCTCAGCTCGCTGGATAGTGTCCATGTCTCACAGCCGTACAGCAAGACAGGGAGCATCAGGACTCTAAAGACCTGGACCTTCATCCTCTTACAAAGATATCGGGAGCGTCACACACCCCTCTCCAGCGACCTCATGACCCCCCATGCTCTCCCAATCCGTCTGCTGACTTCCTGTCACTGCTGAGGTAAGTGAACCACAGCAACACTGGCCAATAAAATAAATATATATGGTTTTTAAATTTGATGGAGATTTAGCAGTTTGTTTCATAAACAGCACAGGTGAAAACGACAGCAGGTGTATGACAGGACAGGGCCTGTGGAGATGCAGTCACTCCGCTAAAAGGACATTTAACGTGTCTGACAGCTTGCAAAGAGGCAGGGGTGTGATCACCTTCACAATACGGTAATTCTGAGCCTGCGTGAATGAACAGAGCCAGCAGCAAGATCAGAAAGTGCATGAGAAAGATGAAGCTGGGAAAATCCGTCCTGTTCTGAACTTCTGCTTTTCAGAAGGTGCCTTAACAGTCTCTTCACACGCGGAGACACAAAGGCAGGCCGGGCATCTGCACTGCAGCTAGGCAACTCACCCTTTGTTTAGATTCTTCCAGAACTCAGGGCTCAAAGAGGGATCTGACACCTCCCCCTACACTCAGTGGATTCCAGCTCAGACTGGTTATCAAAGAAACAAAGAAAATAGCAGAAATGTGGGATCTAGTTCGGTTCTATTATTCCGGTAAAATCCCAAGACTGGGAATGAGCTTACAGAAGAGTGAGGGTTTGGAATGTATCTCTGAGCAGGAGGGGTCAGGGGGAGTAAGGTATCCCAGAGGTCAGCGTGCTTCCCATTCTGTCTTTGGGGGGCCTGGAGCTATTGCCCTCACCCTCAAAACATAGTGACCCCCCCCCCCTTAGAACTGATTCTGGAGATAAGTGCAAGTGTGCGATGAGAGACGCAGAATTTTGTACCACACAGTCAGAAGGTCAGTTCATCTCTGGCTCTGTTTAACGCGTGTGTGATGGTTGAGGTGAGGACCTTTGGGAGTTCACTGCGGGAGGAGGTGTGTTCTGACATCACCTGCATGTACAGCCTTGACGATTCCGCACTTGGTGTTTGAAATGTGTTGTTTACATTGGCAGAAGCAAGTTCTACAATAGGCGCTTTCACACCGAAGTTCCGGAACCTGGTCCCTGCGGTGTGAAAATGCCTAATAGTACCAGTATGGTACCAATTTGTTTTCATAATTATTAAAATTACTATTTTTGTGTTTCATTTTCTGAATTGAGGATCACAGCCAATACATGCTACTTCCATTGATGTGGACAAAAGTGCAGAAAAATGTCCAAAGCCTTTCCTGATACCTTAATTCAGGTGGTATAGTGTTGAGGGACATGGATTTGTAACCGACACGTTTTTCAGGTCAAGTCTCCGGTTAAAAATGTCTGCCTGTGTAAAAGCATGAATGTTAAAGCTGACAGCTGTGTAAATCACTCCAGATCCACATCCCTGAGCTGCTACAACTATAATCGCCATAATCCTCTGTAAAATACCAGAGAAAAACAAGTTGGGTCAGTCCTCTGTAATCCTATGTATCCTCCTCTGCCCACTGTAAGTGTAACCTCTGTCACTGCGAGGCACCTATTTCAAAGCAAAAAACCATTCGAAAGATTACATCTCTATGGGTCAATAGTTTCTCCAGAGAAGACAGTTTATAACACCTAGCGTAAGGGGCAATTAGGAACACCTGTTTAGGGATCTGGACTTTTACAACTCGGTTATAAAAACAGACAGAGTCTTGAACCTTATTAGCAAACGCTAAATGGAGGGCCCTCAAGCAATATTGGTAAACTGCATTCAGGAGGCTTTCTGGAAATCCACAAAGCAGTAAGCAGATTTGTGGCTAAGAGCCTGCAACTGTGACCACGAGGCTCTTGGTATCGGTCCTCTTGTACTTCAGGTGAAGTATCCAACTGTGTTACCGGGTGAACTGTGTAATGTCTGCAGGGGTACCATGGTAATTTTACTTTGTTACTACAAATTAAAACAAGCATGGATAAATTAGGTCAGAGCAGGCCTGTATGCCATAGTCATGGCCCTGTTTTAACACGTTCAGATGAACTTCCACAGGTCTGGCAATGCACCACCAAAGGCGTTTACTTAAGACAGCACCGTGATCCTGGGATCTGAGCCTGTATGACACCGAAATGGCACTCCGATGCGTCAACAAGCAGGCTGGCTGTCAGTGATGATGCTGTCTTAGGACGACAGTGCTTTCTCGTGGTATATGATGAGGCTGCTTTGATCGCCGTGGGCAGACCCCCCCAGCCAAAGACCAGAATCCTCACTATTTCCTTCCCTCCCCCACAGAAGATTAGCAAGGCCCATCCGTCTGCCTTTCTGCACACAGACCTCCACTGAGCAATTCCCAGAACCAGATAAAATAAATCCCAAGCTCTCACAGAGAATTCCCGGTTCGTTCTACATTGGGGTGGAGCCCAAAGTCAGCTGACACGCATCCGGACTGAGCGATCACACATGAGGTGACATTATCCCAGCTTAAAGTTGTCCCTGTTCCCCCAGGGCTCACTTTGAACCCCGCTGAAGTCACCTTGCTTAACTGCATTACCAATGGCAAGTCCTCTCCCAAGAATAACATTCCGGTGATTTCTCAAAAACAGTTATCAAAAATAACACAGACCTTTGTTACTGAAACAGAAGAACACTGCATAGATAAAGATTCAGGTGGCAGAGACTGCTCCTATAGCAAAGGTGACCCCCCCCCCCACACTTCTAACAGGTCACTCTTCTTTCTGTGTAGCAAATGCCTAACGCATGAGGTCATTAAAATCTATACCCTATTGTTAGAGGTTACGCACGTTTGATTTCCATGGAGAAAATGCACTTTTAAATTGGCTGTAGTCATTATTTGCTTTACAGTGTATAGACTCCTTCACATATATAATACAGTGTAATATAATAGATTATCTCCAACAAAAAAGCACTGCGTGACCGTTTTGTTCTTGCCGGCGATGTTTAAATCCCGTCACATCAAAGTTCTGCTCAGGCCAGTAACTGTACTGGTATTCTTTGCATGCTTTGTCTAAGCGCGGAACCGAAAGAGCCGGTCTGTCGCCTCTTTTTCATGTTCTCTTGTGGACCCGTTAGGAATTCCTCCCGCCCTGGCAGACGTCCAACTGCGAGACATTAAGATGTATCAAGAAATTAACATGCACACAAAATACGCTGCACTCTCAGGTCCTCAGTGCCCATTCAAAGGCCAGAAAGGGGCCCTACCGCCTTCTTTGGGGCCCAATTCAGACAAGTGGGCGCTGGGGGCAGCCCATAATACTCCCTTGGGAAAAAACCCCAAAGCTTTGTACAGATTTTTTTCCTTTTGAACCACCAAAAAAGAAACACCAATATTATGCCTTTTCAAAAACTCCTCAGTACGTAAACACTTAACGGTGGCAGTTGTGGGTGAGAAAGAATAGGTGTGGAACTGTATTAGACCACAAGAGAATTATTTTAAGGTACAAATAAAAGGAGTTTAAAGGCGAAAAGAGTACAGGAAAGTTCTTGCTACTCCTCCTCCTTCTCATGAGGTCATACCCTTTTCATTTCAAGGTTCACCTCTGCATTACTGACCAGAAGATAAGCTCTCGCTACTGCTGCTAACAGAAGAACGTCACCCATGTTCACAGCACAAAGCCTGACTATCCAGACTGGGGTGGGGGGGATCAGAATCAATATTACCAGGCATCATCAGCACACATTTGGGTTTCCTGTCACTTCCCAGACATCCATTAAGGTCCATCATACCCAGGGACACACCTGCTTCCCGAGGTCATGTCAGTCTGATGTGTCTGCTAATCTGCTCCCGGGGGTACATATGACATTTTATGGGAACGGGGGGCAGCACTCACTCAAATCACGTGGCCATACAAGCACATTCACCCTGCTCAGCCCAGGGTCATTACATCAGCCCGCATTTGCCGCTCCCTTCTCAAACTGTCCCGAAAGTTTTCATAATGGCAGCTCATTTTCAATACCACACAATTTGCCAATTGCTATAGAATCTCTGTGTCATCGCTTACAAACAGCCTGCAGGAAGACTGACTACAGAGGGGCATTTAAGCTGATTCAGTTCTTAGAATAAAACGACAATAAACAGGCTACTGCCTGCATTACCTGATTCACGGTAACCGTCTATTACACATAAATGTCTGCAACAAAAGCCAAAATGGTTTGGTTCATGACTGAGCTGCTTGCTTATCATCCTGTAAATTAACAGACCTCCTGTTCGTTTGTTGTTTCAATGTAACGTCCAGTGTATTTACATAGACAAAAATCCATAAAAAATAGCCTACAGGAAACTCCGAGACACTTTTGCGTTAGTTTTCAAAAGCCCGAGGTGGATTAACGACTCTTTTTTCACTACAGTAATTACACCCAACCTGTAATTGACAATAAGACCCTCGCAAGCTTCTGTCACATTCCAGCGGGACTCTGAATGTGAGCCGCCTCGCCGCCATCCACCCTCCGCCGGCTGGAAGCTGGGATAACGGCACTTCACTTTGATTACCTTCAAATGAACTTAGGCCACTTTGTGAAAAAGAGTCGGCTAATCCCCATCTAAAAAGTCAAGCAACGGGTCTGTTGAAGTTTCATACAAAATGCCAACAAATAACAAGCTTAACATAAATATCTGGCTGCAGTATTTTCAAATAATTAAGCCTATCGACTTTACTGTGATATCGCACCATTTCGGTTTTATGACTCGCAATACGCCCCGACCGGAGGAGGATCCGCGCAGTGACGCTTACGGTGCGAATACTTACAGTAAACCGGTTATATACGGCAGAGCTCCGCAGGGTGTCGGCGCCGGACAAACGCCCCGTCGGACTGATCGGCCCCCGATCTCTCTCTCCTGCCTCCCGACGGGCCGCTGGCTCCTATTTGCATGTGTAAAGACACAGAGGCGACGGCTGTCGGGGGGATGGATGAGGGGGCGCTGAGCGGCTCCCCGCAAACCCCGCGCATCCAGGCACCGCACCTCGTCCTGTCCGGATTCAGTGCCTTACAGAAGCAGCTACGGAAACAGCACTACGTCCTGTACAAAATGTGGGGCCTGATTTTTACATTACGGATTATCAAATGCTTTATTTTCTTTCAGTAACACAATGGATTGGTATCGTCACATAATACTGCCTTATCAAATGTTTAAGAAATAAAGTTTAGAAAAATAATATTGTGCTTTCCTTTATATCAAAGCTTATCTTCATTTATTTTTTTGCATGCTACGATCTCGATACGACACTAATCTCCTCCAACCATTTCTTAAAATAATCGTTGCACTACACACGGAGAATCGACAGTGCTAATGAAACAGAATATTCGTATGAAAAACTACATTATGAAATTGTATATGCTAATTAGCTAATCTGCTAATTGAGTAAAATGAATGTATTTACTATAATCCCGCTGTTTTTTAATTGTTACATTGAACCAGGGGCGTCAGAAGCATTTTGAAGGGGGACGGGGACGATGACACACTGGCATAAAACTAATATTTTATGTAAAATGTGGGGGGGTGTTCCGTGCATGTCCCACTGGGAGGAGACCCCGGGGAAGACCCAGGACACGCTGGAGGGACTATGTCTCTCGGCTGGCCTGGGAACGCCTCGGGATTCCCCCAGAGGAGCTGGAGGAAGTGGCCGGGGAGAGGGAAGTCTGGGTTTCCCTGCTGAGTCTGCTGCCCCAGCGACCCGACCTCGGATAAGTGGGAGAAAATGGATGGATGGATGGATGGATGGATGTGGGGGGGTCCAAACAAATAATTATGAATTGTGAGGGGTACACGTCCCCCTCATATTTAATGGCGGCGACACCCATGCATTGAACTGATTATATTGGCGGAGCATTGCCCATAGACAAACGCACTGGTTACTTTGCGGGTGATTTCGGGTGACCGATGAGGACCTCAAAGGCGCTGACCACGGTAGGTGCTGGTTTAACTTGGAGAACGTTTGCATGTCCCTGCACTTTACAAATGTGAATGAGGAATTCCTCCAATTCACCTTGTGTCTCACCCATTTGGTGCTCCCTCGTAATGTTACGATTTCGATGTGTTTTAGGGCCTTGTATGGTGTTTGCCCAAACGACACCCCGAGCCCCACCACCCAAAAATAATCACGCTGCAATTAATAATGATATATTTCTCTGAGTGGGGGGTCCAGGAAAATGCCCGGTATGCCAGATGGTCAGTCCGGCCCTGGTGCCCACCCAACATACTCGAATGCCCGCCCAGAATGGCATCTGGGTAGTGACTCTGGTGCAAATAAAAATGCCTCAGATTTGTTCTGGTGCCAACAGCTGCATCTGAGTACAAAACTGAACTAAAAGTTGGCTATAAAATTTCCAAAGATATTAATATTTTTATAGAATTTTATAATTTGTAGAAAGGATGATTTGGAATACTCTATTATTCAATTTATTTTAAATAAATCTTAGACCTTTTTTAAGTATGGTGCAGTGTAATGTGTTATTCAAGTAAAAATAGTGCACTTTTTTTTTTACTGACATGGAAAACCTGGCAATCTCGCAATTCCCAGCACAGCTCCCGGGGGTTTCAGAAAGGCTGACACCGGAGCAATATCTCCATGGCAACAGTGTCACTAGCCCAACAATCCCATACACTACTGACTAGCAGCATCAGCCAAAGCGGCATTCTGGGAATTAAACACGGAATGTGCAAATCTCTCACCAACACAGGCCTGTTTTTAATTGACTTATTTTATAATCATGAATTTTCACATTTTCAGCTAATGATTGTAGATATTGTCAAACCTTTTTTCTCAAATATCTTGTACAAAAGACCTTTTCCATTTAGCAGCCTTTTCTCAGTGAGGCTGATTACCTCTGGATTCATTGAAGACTCGCAAAATGAGCTTCACGTGGCTTCCCTCTGGATGGCGAGCAGGGTGTCAGATAATTAAAATCGGAGACATTTGGATGCATTCTCACGTTTTTTATAGGAAGACACATGTTTGCTTTGAGAGGCAGTTTATAACATGGAAATCTTTAGCATCAAACCAAAACCACTTTCTGTCTATTAAAAGAATATGAGAAGATCTGTAAAGACAAACCCAGTAAGGTGGTTTATACGTAAAGTCGTTAATGATGTTCATTCACTCTAACTGCCTGTAGCTCATTTGTCGCTTCCAGTACAAACCTGACAAGCTCAAACCCTTTGAAAACTCTTAAAATGACCATGTTTCTATTTTTAACTGATTCTAAAAACATACAGACAGACATGGGTGTATATTTTCTGTATCCCTGCTTCTGGCTAAGAAACGATAAGGCATTTTGTGCCGTGTGACCTCCGCTGGCTCTGTCCTGTCCAGTGCGAATGGGTGTGTCTGTGCAGGCTCACCCGTCGGTGCTCATTGTGTCTCTGCCAGACAAACTGGCAGTCGGGGCATCTTCCTCCTTTGGGAACATAACCTGATATCACAGCTAAGATCATTCCTTCTCCGCTTCTCTGGACTCCAGTAATTGGATGAGGCTGCCTGTTTTAATTCTACCTGTATGTCCAAATGTTAACAAATGTGTTTTTTACTGGATGGGTGATTACCAGGAACATTCCTTCCATCAGTACTTAACCCACATTTCCAAAAAGCTGTAGAACATATGGAGGTTTATTTACTTCCTGCCAGTGTCTCTAAATCAGAGGCGGCCAACCAGTCAATTCCATTGCCCCCCCAGGTTGGAAAATATACTGTGAGGGCCACCCCCCATCCACCCCGATCATAACGATTCGGGGACTCACCAGAGAATTTTCTTTGTGAAAGTATCTCTTACTGTGAAAAAGGTTGGAGGCCGCTGCTCTAAATTAACTCAGCAGTTAACAAACTAGGCATTTTCTAAACCGACATTAACGCACCTGTGTGAGATTCCCTTGAATTCTGGCTCAGCAGGTAAGTGCTAAAGATGAGTACAGATCCAGTCCTTTTTACAACGTCAAATATTTAGTCCACGGCACTGGGAAGGGGCAGAACAATAACCGCAGAGTAAATATGGCCTTTCGCGGAACCTTACACACTCCCCGACTTTTACAGATACGTGGCTCATTATCTTCTGTATCGACAGGCAGGATGAAGGCATGCTTCATCTTGAATGGTGTTTTTCTCTGTTCTGTCTGGGAGTGGATTCAGTTTGATTGGCTCGGGCACTGCCAATGGAATGTGGACATGAGGTACAGAGAGAGCGTGGTCTGCTGAAAGCGGAGAGGGACCAACAGTCTGCAAACATGTAAGCATGTCAAACACCTCAGCACAGGAGAGGAACTCCCTCACAGTAACAGGGACTCCCTCACAGTAACTTATGCAGACCTTCATCAAGAACATATAATCTTACTATAGAAATGGTCTTATTTATTTACTTATTTATAATTCACTTTATCTTTACATTCACTTGTCGTCCTGTTGTCTATCCGTCTTGTTGTCTATGTTCACTGTCTGCAGGAGCACATGCAAGCAAGCATTTCATTGTACACGGCACTCGTACTTATACACCTGACAATATAAGAATTGAATTGAATTGAAAAGAAGAATATTACTTGTTTATTCCTTATAAAGTCAAAACTTCACAGGAAATCTCAATTAACATTCATACTGTCTGGAATTTCCTGTGAAAATGCGATAGAAAATAGTTGCACCAGTGCTGAAATGTTGAAAAGTAGGGTATCATTAAGAATCACTTAGGAAAATTATAGGCGAACTGCAGCCAACAACGATTCCATTGAATAAATTCAGTAATGTAGATGTAAACAAAGTCAAGATGGTTAATATGAGATCCTCAGCACCCTGGCTATCCGGCTGGGTGCCCCAGAGATGCCATAAGGAACACAAGTCAGATCTGTAAGGCAGTGTGGACGTAGCATGACTTCCTCTACTGGGAGCAGGTCTTCCAGTAAATACGGATGACTAAACGAACAGGGTTCCGTGCCCAAATCCAGGAAGAGAGTAACCCTCGAACATAGGATGGCAGGGGGTTTGAATGGGGATGCCAAGTGTTTCAGGTTACATTAATATGCTCGGTTCCTGTGCGGGAGAGAGCAAAACAAGTGTGCCCAGTGGGGGGGGGGGGGACTTACGAATGCCATCTGATACATGGCTGTGGGGGGAGAAAAAAATCTGATTACCCCAGGGGGCTCAGCCCACACTAGTATGGGGGTAGAATTTCACGGGGTGAGATCACGTCAGGGCCTCTGTCTTCATGATGGCGCTGATGTCGCTCTATGTGGGTCTGTTTATGATTGGGGGGGGGGGCTCACACACCTGCCCAGGGAGGGTGTGGCCTTCGCCGTTCCTTCGGAAGGCCCGTTCTGAGCGTCCCGACGGACATAGACGGCAGCCGCCTGAAGGTGCACAGCCAGTGCACAGCCAGTGCACAGCCAGTGCAGATCGGCAGGCTGACACGACCAGCTTTTCAAGAACAGAAACGAACAAACAAAAACGCGCAGCCCTCCCCCAGGCCTCTGGGAGGGGGTCACTGGGCTAAATCTAACATTAGCCTGCGGCGTACAGACAGATAAAATCACTTATCTCCTCTCGCAGCTTAATCAACACCTCATAATTCAGACTCACAGTGTCGTCACCCAGAAGTTGTTCTGCTTACAGAGGAATTCAAGGTTCCTGTGATCTGAAATGCTCTCAGCGACAGTAATGCTGGGAGTTTGCAGTGCCTGATGTGAGGCTCAGCCAGTGCTGACTGATGAACCTGAGTTCAGCATGCTGTGATTGGGAAACAAGCCTTTTCATCAAAGCAAAAAGCTGTTTAACAGAATCACACCTCAACATTGGTGCAATTGCTGAAAATCAGACACAGAAATTTTGCTTAAGGCTAATTCTTCAACAAAAGATTAACAATATTGTTGTTCAAATTAACAAAGGAGCACTAAATTAAATAAATTTAACATTCAATTTTTTAAATAATCCACCTGCTCATTCTCATTTGTGCAGAGAGCTGAATCTGACAGTTTAGTTTAGAGGTCAAGA